TGAAAGAGGTGAAACAAAAAACAGCAGAAGCACTAAAAAACATCCAAATTGACAAGTTCAAATACTGTGAAGAGCAGTGGAAAAAGCATCTTAAAAGGAGTATCACATCAAACAGAGAGTACTTTGAAGGTGACAAGTATAAACATGTAAGGATAAATACACAATTTTTAATAAACAAATTCTGGATTTTTGTGGTCCCCCTCATAGTTGTGCTCACATATATTTCAGTAGTTTGATAATAACATGATTGTTTTACTTGGTAAAAAAAAGAATCATATGTCAACCAATAGTCACATATATCAAAGAAAAGGAAACTCCCTTCACAAGGGAAGTTAACAATTCTCCAAAATTAGAATCATATTTTTAGCTACAAGCTGTTTATTAAATAAATGATATGGCAATCTGCTTTGTAGCAACGTCTACTTCAACACCATCTCCTCCTTGGAAATACACTCAGTTTTCTGTTGATATGAAATGTATACCAATAACTAAAATATAGCAGGACAGATACTGTCATAAAGAAAGTGCTATGGGAATGCAGAAGTGAAAGCAGTAACTTTAACCTTGGGTATAGGGGAGGCTTCAGGAAGTCAGGGCATCTTCAAAGTCAAGGATGGATTCAGCCTGAGTCTTGAAGGATGAGTAAGCATTACCATATAGATGAGGAAAAGGAAGGGCATCCAAGCAGAGTACAATTTTTGAAAAGGTAGGAGAAGACAGGAAAAACTATAGGGTATTGAAACCACTTGGGAGCAAACAAAATTACCCAAGCAGAGGGTATTTTGAGGAGTTGCAACTTAAAAGGACCTTATTATGAAGTACCTTGTGTCCCATGCTTGAGCACATTGTTGGTCCTCAGGCAACAGGAAGTCTTCAGTGGAAAAATGAAAGAAGCAATCTTAAAAGCAATGAGAATCCATTAAAGTGTTTTCAGCAGGGGAGAGTGTTGGTTAAGTTGCATTTCAAGTGAATCATAAAAGAGAAAGAGTGGGAGCTAGGAGACTCCTCAGAGGTCTACTGCAACTCTTCAGACAAAAACTCATTTTGTTTATCACTTCATTTCGCAGGCAAGGAAACTGTGATCCCAGAGAGGTTAAGTGGTTTGTTCAATGTCTCAGAGCTGGTAAATAGTAAAACTGGCTTCTTTCTCTATGCCCAAACACTTTTTCTTTTAATTTTAAAGATGTGGGGTCTAATTCAAGGTTAGGTATAGAAATGTTCATTATGCAGATATCCTTGTTGATGAGGTATGCCTTCCTCTCCCGGCAGATTCCTACTATTAATCCCTTTCTTAGTATTATGATAATTATTCCAGGTCTGCTTATGAGTTAGAATATATGGTACTCTGTTCTTTGTTTCTGTGATAGATCACTGAGTATAATAGACTCTAAATCCATCCAAGTTGCTGCAAGGTCCATATGTTTGTCCTTCTTTATGGCTGCATAATATTCCATTGTATATATGTGCCACATTTTTTTTTTTTATCAAACACTTTCTCTATTTTTTTTTTTTTTTTGAGTTGGAGTTTCACTCTGTCACCCAGGCTGGACTGCAGTGGCACAATCACAGCTCACTGCAGCCTCGACCTCCTGTGCTCAAGTGGTCCTTCTGCTTCAGCCTCTTGAGTAGCTAAGAATACAGGTATGTGCCACCATGGCTGACTGATTTATTGATTATTTGTAGAGACAAAGTCTCACTATGTTGCCTAGATTGGTCTCAAACTCCTAGGCTCAAGCAGTCCTCCCTGCTTGGCCTCTCAATGTGCTGGAATTACAGGCATGAGCACCGCACCCAGCCTAGTGGTACAATAATGTTGGTAATTGCAGACAGGTTAATTGGCTCATAATTTTAAGTAGGATTTTTGCATTTTGTTTTTTAGAGAGAGACATAATTTGACCTTTGGTATAGTAATTTGACCTTCAAATTGGCAGACCAACGTAACTTACAGTGTCTGATGAGCTGTTTTATTTTCCTAATTTCTTATTTTTTAAAAAGGTAAGAAAGACATAATTAACCAGATGGTTATTTCACAGAAGTCTTCCTATCTTTGTACCTTTTTAATGTCATTTTTTCTCTCTCTCATGAACCTTTCTGGCCATAAGGTAGTGAGTACTTTTCTCATATTCCAACCATGGATGATTCCCAGCATCCTATCTTCCTCTCCTTCTTCTTTTCATTTTTCAGGTCTTATCCCTTCTACCACTTCTTCCTGGTATTACATCAGCTACCAGCTACCTAGAAGGTGGATTAGGGCATTTATCCAACCAGCAAGTTCTACATTATTAAGTACATTGAAACTAAAAAATAGTTACGGCTTTTGTCTCAAAAACTAAGTTGGGGGCTGGGCAGAGTGGCTCACCCTGTAATCCCAGCACTTTGGGAGGTCGAGGTGAGAAGATTGCCTGAGCCCAGGGGTTTGAGACCAGCCTGAACAAGTCAATGAGACCTCATCTCTATAATAAATTTTAAAAATCAGCCTGGCATGGTGGCAGGCATCTATAGTTCCAGGTACTTGGAAGGCTGAGGCAGAAGGATTTCCTGAACTCAGCAGGTTGAGGCTGCGGCAGCCGTGAGACCCCGACTTAAAAAAAAAAAATTAAGTTAGACTTATGCCTAGACTTATTATAAATGCAAATAATTAATTTTTAATATTTAACTCTCAATTTGTTACAAATCTCTTCCTCTTTTTTTTGAGTCAGGGTCTCATTTTGTCCCCCAGGCTGGAGTGCAGTGGCATGCTCACGGCCACCACAGCCTCAACCTGCTGGTTTCAGGTGATCCTTCCACCTCAGCCTTCCAGGTAGCTGGAACCATGGGGCATGCCTCCAGAGTTGGCTAATTTTTTTGGTTTAATGTAGAGATGAGGTCTCGCCAAGTTGCTCAGGCTGGCTTGAACCCCTAGGCTCAAGCAATCCTCTCGCCTCTGCCTCCCAAAGTGATGGAATTACAGGCATGAACCACTATGCCCAGGCAATTTTCATTTTGATAATGCACCTGAACATTTCTCTGGTTTACTAACAATCAGTCTGTATTGTTCCAGCTCACTCTGTAGACAATTTGTCTTCCCATATCTACAGCTACAGGGTCAGAAGGACCCATACTGGTGGAGAAAACTATGTAGTTTCTCCATTAGGAAAGGAGGTTCAGATTGAGGATTCCTGGCTTGCTTTCATTTCTGAGAATAGTTTGGTCTTACTGGCCTAGGCTATCTTAAATCTAGAGTAACTCTGAAATACTCAGGGTAAAATAGGCAATGGTGAAAATTCTCAGAACCCTTGTAAGACAAATTAGAATTTCTTGTGTTATTTTTCTCTCATCATTCCCTGTGCTGTACTAGGCTAAATTCAATATCCCAAGGGCCACTTCCCACATGCAATTATTGAGTGCATTTTAGCCCCAGTGTAGTTCTTTAAATCTCACTAGATAACTGTGGGGATCCCATCCATGGATCAAAGTGTTAGTGATTTACAGCTCAGGAACCAAAAAAGAGCAAAATTAAAGTTTGAAAACATACAGCTTTCTCTGCCAGATTTTATTTTTTGCCAAATGTCTTAGGGTGTTTTGCATTACTGTAACAGAATACCACAGACTGGGTAATTTATAAAGAACAGAAATTTGTTTAGCTCGTGATTCTGGAATTCCAAGAACAGGGCACTGGCATCTGGCAAGGAGCCTCAGGCAGTGTCACCCCATGGTAGAAGGTGGAAGAGCACAAAAGGGCAAGAGCATGCAAGAGAACACCCAACTCACTTTTACAAGAATCTCACTGTCACATAACTGACCCACTCCCACAATGATGGCATCCATTAATCCATTTATGAGGGCAGAGCTCACATGATTCAATAATCTCTTAAAGACTAAACCTTTTATAATGTGTTCTGAACTCTGAAAAAAAAAAAAGATCCTACCTCTCACCCCTCTCTTCCTCCGAGATGCCTACCAAGGTGGCAGCTGTCTCCTGCTCAGCATCATGGCTGCCCTCAGACCCCTGGTGAAGCCCAAGATCATCAAAAAGAGGAGTTCATCCAGAGCCAGTCAGACTGATAAGTCATTATCAAGCATAACTGGCAAAAACTCAGAGGTATTGACAACAGGGCGCATGGAAAATTCAAGGGCCATATCTGGATGCCCAGCATTGGTTACGGGAGCAACAAGAAAACAAAGCACATGCTGCCCAGTGGCTTCTGCAAATTCCTGGTCCACAGTGTCAAGGAACTGGAAGTGCTGCTGGTGGGCAACAAATCTTATTGTGCTGAGATTGCTCACAATGTTTCCTCCAAGAACTGCAAAGCCATTGTAAAAAGAACAACCCAGCTAATACTCAGAGTCACCAATCCTAATGCCAGGCTGCCCAGTGAAGAAAATTAATAGACGTTCATGTGTACATTTTGTATTTAAATAAAACCAGAAAAACTGCAAAATAAAATCAAATAAAGATCCTACTTCTCAACACTGTTGAGTTTGGGATTAAGTTTCCAGCACATAAACTTTGGGGGACACTTTCAAACCATAGCAGGAAATACTATTGTACTGGTAATCCATGAACTTGAAACACCTATTGACAAAGAAGTGAAAAATCCCATGTTAACTGTAAGTGAACCATCAGAATGAGCATGAGATAGGAGAACCATTTATTTTATTTAACCAAATCTTGGCCCTGAAATATTTAACCAAAAGAAAAGAATAATTCAATGAAGTTATTTTTAATGCAGTGAAATTTATTCAAGTCATGTCTTCTGGAAATAAAAGTGGACAGCAACAAACAAAAAAGGTAGAAAAAAATAAATGTGTCCTTGATGTCTCCCCTAAAGTTAATAGTCTCCACACCTGTTTCTTTCATCTTCAGGTGATGTTAATCTTCTGTTTATTTTGCCACTCTGAATCTAAGTACCTGTAGTATATTCAGAGACTACCCTCCAAAACTTGTTCTATGTCTGTTTTTCTGACCTCAAAAAAGTAAAGGACAAAAATATGTCTGTGTGTGTGTGTGTCCTGTTGGTGGTTAAAAAGCAAACTGGGACTTCCTCTTTGAACAGTTGCCTTTTCCTCCCACACAGGGAGGATTTCATTTTGTTTGAGACTAGACACAGTTGAAACCAAACCACATATCAAAGGGAGGGCATGATGGCTAAGAAGCCCCCGAAACCAGCCCCTCGCAGGATCTTCCAGGAAAGATTAAAGATTACCGCTCTACCCTTGTACTTTGAAGGTTTTTTATTAGTCAAGAGGTCAGAATACCAGGTGAGTCCATAGATGGTAATGATAAACCTGAAACTTCTGTCTTAATGTAAAATTTAATTCATGGTGATGTGATGTGATAAAACCATCTTGTTTTTGTTGGAATTAAATCCTCCTCTCTTGGTTGGGCTCAGAAAAATGATTCCAATTTTTCATAATTTGAATGTAATGTATGGCTTAAACATATGTATATGTATGCATATAGTATATAATAACATAAATTAATATTATTTATATTAAGCTACTAATATGAAAAATTTAAACAGCAAAATTTCCAGGTAATTCATTTAACATCACAGAAGATTCTGGCTTAGGAGAAAAAAATTTTTCTTATACTTTCTCCACAACTTATTACTATGCTTCAATGATGACATGTACCATTTGGGTAAAATGCTTTTATTATTAAAATTAAATCTTCTGCTTTTATTCTCAGTCATTTGCAGTTTATGGTGATCAAATTATAAAAAATTGTAAACTTTTATAAAAAATTGTTAGAATGATAAAATTTATACTGTTTAACATTATGTATAGTTATATGTTCTAAAAATACTCTTCAAGATAGTGACTTAAAAAAGATAATACTCATGGTGCTTTGTGGGTATCAAGTACATTAAGCTACCTAAATATATTTGCTCTAAGGAAATCCACAAAACATTCCATATTTTAAATTATAAAAATTAAAACCTATAGTTAGTTAAAAATCATTGCTTTTAAAACAGTAACTGTGGATAACTTGAAATTTGTGAGTATACATAAAATTGCTCGTTACTAAAGAAAAATATTATTATTATTATTATTTTTTTTTTTTAAGTTGGAGTCTCACTCTGTCACCCAGACTGGAGTGCAGTGGTCGCTCCCAGTCACCGCAGCCTCGACCTGCTGGGCTCCAGCGATCCTTCCGCCTCAGCCTTCCAAGTAGCTGGAACTACAGCCGTGCGCTACCACGCCCGGCTAATTTTTTTGATTTATTGTAGAGATGAGGTCTCGCCAAGTTGCCCAGGCGGGTCTCGAACCTGCGGGCTCAGGCAATTCACTCACCTTGGTCTCCCAAAGCACAGGATTACAGGCTGAGCCACCAAGTCCGGCCAAGAAAAGTATGATTAACTTAGATCAAATTTTATAAAATTTTTTATTGACCAAAACCAGAAAAAAATTTAAGTGTTTTCAGAAAATCAATAAGAAATGTGTAATGATGAAAATAAAATTGAGTGGAAGATGGGTAATCCTTTTCAATATGCAGATACATTTAGGTATCAGAAGACGGTTAGGGAATAGTGGACACCAACGATCGAGAACAATACCTTTTACAAGGACAGAGGAAGCCCTACTCTTCCTCACTCCCTCTTCTTAGCCCTTAAGAAAGTATAAAGTATTGCCTCCAACATGCTGAAAAAGAATATCTATGCATAAGTATCACAGAAGTTCCTCCAGTCATCAATTGGGTGTCTTCTATTTAAAGTTCTTTTAGCATCAACTTTATTTTTTTTTTAATTTTTAATTTTAAAGATGTGGGGTACAATTCAGGGTTAAGTATACAAATGTTCATTATGCAGGTACCCTTGCTGATTAGGTGTGTCCCTGCTCCCCTCACAGATTTTCACTACTGCTAATCCTGCCCTCCCCAAGCAGTTTGCCACTACTGCCAATCCTTTTCTTACAGTATTACGATAATTATTCAAGGTCTGACTTGTGAGTGAGAACATGTGATACTCAGTTCTTCAACTTGACTTTAAAGCCTCCAATTTGTCACCAACAAAAAGTACACTGATAAGGGACCTTCTTTCTCTCTTAGTCCTTTTGACTAATTGCCCATAGAAGGTTATTAGATTATGACCTGTCAGGTCATTTTAAAATGTAGCAGAACAACTTGCATCCATATATGGCTATCTAGATTTTTGCAGGAAAGGAGTTAGCTAGAAGGATCTGGTCCTTACATCTATGGAAATGGGCCACCCCGATTCTGTAAACGTGTACAAGTGTCTGGCAATAAGGGAAGCGAGAATAGGATGTAAGAAAGATCAAGTTGATGGAGAAGGACTTGTTTATGGGAAACTTGTCAGTTTTCCTTTGAAAAGGAAAATGTAAAATCCCTAAGGAATTTGGTATTCACAGCTCAGAGAACTACAACACAAAAGTACAGACTTATGTTTGAGAATTAATATTAACCCTTTGTGTCTAGTTTGAAGCTTCTTGTATCTGTCTAAAACTACAAGCCAGAATTTTGTATCTCCTTTGATAAAAAGTGCATATAATGTAAAGTAGTAGTGTTCTTGTGCTACATGTGGGTTGAATGTTTAAAGATTTTTTTTAAAAGATTTGAAGCAGAACCTTGTCTTCTGTGTAAATGACAAGTGTAAAATCCTACCATAAAATGCTAAAAATATGCACTGTTTCAAATAAACCAAGAAATGCAGCACTAAAATAAAAAAAGCCCAAACTTGATCTGCATGCAGCCTACTTTTGTAGTTAATCCTTACTTGTACCCCACATCTCAATAACACAATAAAATTTAAAGTAATAATAAATAATATGCAACCATACTAACAAAAAAAGGTGTGCCATTGTATGGTTAGCAAAAAGTACAAGAATTTCATAATGTCAGTCAAACATGTCTTTACCTAATGGTTTTGACACTTACAGTTTGTGATCTTGTGAAGCCACGCAATCTCCCTGAGACTCAGTTTCCTCATCTATGAGATGGAGAGAATATTACTTGCCTCTCAAGGTACAATATCTGGGATACAGTAGGTGTTCAGTTCATTCATTCATTCAAGCAATGTGTACTGCGTGCCTCTTATGCACCAAACATCACTCTCAGTTCCAGAAACTATGAACAGAACACAAAGATCCTTTCTTCAAGGGGCTTATTTGAGTCGGGGCGAGGACTCCTTTACCCAATTGCTACTCTTTACCTGTTCGTAGGAAGCATGCTTTGAAACAGAATAAATAAACTATAGGCAGAGTATATAACTGGTGAAGTTCATTTGTATTTCCATTTGAATTTACAGCAAAGTACCTTTTATTTGCATGTTAGGAAGGAGAGAACATGAAAACACCACCTACTTACTTATGTGGTAGTCTCAGGGATTAGAGGGTAGCATACATAAAACACCTGGCTTACACTAAAGGTTAGATTCATTTTCTCCCTCTTTCATCACTTACCACGTTTTTATTAACAAACTGGAATCAGTTTGGGCTGGGCAAGTAATATGGATCAAGTAATATGGTGACAATTACAATGCTTGAAAATAGAAGCAATGAGAAAATCTAAGGAAAATAAGTGGGATTTTCAAGCAACTGGCAGCAAAGTACCAGGGAACCTTCAACAGAAAGTTTATACAGCCAGGCCATCTTTGGAGCTAATGAGCTGGAGGAAGTTGAGAGACTGCTCATGTAACTCGGAACATTTAAACTAGAAAAAAAACCCCAAGGAGTAACCTGGTTTATAAAGAGATTTCACGTGGGGGGGGTGTTTCTTAGTCATTTTTGCGATCAAGCACTTTTACGAATTTAAGAAATTTTGCCCCAGAAAAATGTGCCAACATACATCATTTTGCACACAATTCCAGAAAAGATAATGTAGGAAGATTTACTTAGACCACAGCACTAGGATTCTGAGTTTACCAGGAAGATGTTCTTAATAATAATAGCTATTAAATGCCACAGTGGGATACCAACGGCATCACAGTTTTTATAAATGGAATAATTTTCTCATTTTTCTGGGACTGTTTGAAAATAAGAGGAAGTTTGAGCAACATCTTATAGTTCTTTCAATCTGTGATATGCTAAAGTTCAAAAACAATGTGTGGACCAGGTGTGATGGCTCACGCCTGTAATCCCAGCACTTTAGGAAGCTGAGGTCAGATGATCACTTGAGCCCAGGAGTTCGAGACTTGCGTGGGCAACACAGTGAGACCTCATCTGCAGGGATTAGGCAGGGGGCAGTGAGAATCACCTTGGCATGGTGGTGCATGCCTATAGTCCCAGCTACTCAGGAAGCTGAGATGGGAGGATCACTTGAGTGCAAGAGGTCGAAGATGCAGTGAGCCAGGATCGTGTCACCGTATGCCAGTCTGGGTTACAGAGTTAGGCCCTATTTCAAACAAAATAAAAAACCCAACAACTATGTGTGTAATATGTCTTATTAGTCTGAACATCAGAATGTAGTCATCATAGCTTTTAAAATATCATTTTTCTAACTAGTCCTCTACTTACCTCCAATTCATTTAGAAAATGTTTATGGCTATCTAAGTTGCACTCTCAAACACAGTTCTGAATGACAGTGATCTCCAAATTTTTAAAATAACACACTACTTTCAAGAAAACATTTTGAGCACAAATCCCTAATATAAGACTATTTATTCATTTAGAAAAATATAAGTATTCCTGTACTAGTACTCCATGTAAATTACTAAATATATGTAGAAAATAAATTAAGATGAAATAAATGCAATATAATTAGATATTCTAAAATTTCCTTTCACAATGGATCATCTTGCGCACATTTGGGGTTTATACATCCCACTTTGGAGAATGCTATGCAACATTCTTCCTTAGGCAATTGTACTTTATTTGCTCTCAAGAAAAAAAAATGGGAACTTTTTTTTATTGGGGAAGAGGAATAGAGAGTAAATTAACTGGAGTTTGCATTATAAGTCCTTTTTTACTAGTTACATCAATGAGAAAAGAGCACTGGGAAGTCAGAAGATAAAACTTATCAGTCCAGTTCTGGAATTTGTGCAATTGATTTACATCCTATAATCTGCTTCCTTCTTTGTAAATGGATCATTACTCTCTTGCATAACTGAACGTGTTCTGTGGTGACTAAATGGGCTATATAATAATGGATACTTCTTTTGAGGTCTGACATATGGTGGATATCATGATAGGCTCTTAAGGTCCTGTCACACTGATTCTCACGGTAACTCTGTTGGGTAGAAATTATTTTATCCTTTTCACAGATGAGTGAGTTGTGGCTCTCAGAGGTATGTTCAAGATTCCTT